TACAACTTTTTAATTTTTGCAAAATACAAGTGTCATAAATCATTGTTCATAAATCATACGTAGTATATATGTAACTAGTCTGCTTCTCTATTTCGGCCATTTTTGGCATATAATCGAAAATTTGACTTTTTGTTTCGAACAAAAAGATGTTTGAAACATGACTCTTTTGGGATGGAAGAAGTATAAAACTCAAGTAAATCAAACACAGATCAACACATTACCAAAATTCTAATAAGATAATACAAGCATTTAAGAAATATAAATGAGGAACCAAACCATATTTCTCAATTTTGGAGATGACTACCTTTAAAGCAAGCAAAATTCTCTGTTTCCTTATATTTACTTCAAAAGAAAGCAAATGTGTTTCAGAGGAATCAGGGGAATGTTTTTGCAGAAGCTTTAAATATTTTGTAGCTTCCATCAGAGGATCTTCTACCTACATAGCGAAAGCTTGTAGGCGTCAAGATCTCATCCAGCAAAGCATAAAGAATGAGAATACCAAACTGCTAAATTCAATTTGATTTTAATTGATCTAATACCCTAAAACAAGACATATTAGCACACCTGCAACAATTGTTCTCCATTTGGATCAGAATCAACTACCTTCGTCTGACGCTTTCCTAACTTCGATACACATGTAGCACTGGATTCATCACTTTTCACCACTGCCTCCTAAAAGCATGAAAGTAAGTAATTGGAAAATGTAAATGGTTAAATTGTGTCAAAGTCAATAAGGAGCCTATGTAAATACTTTCTTAGCTCGTGCTTCAGCTTTCCTCTGTTTTTGCCTTAGTTTCTTTTTCTGAGATGATGGAAGCTTTGACAATTCATCATCTTCTTCAGTTGTTGGTTTCAATGGAAAATCATACAGCCTCATGTAGCATCTACAAAATCATAAAAAATATATTTTTTTAAGAAAAGAACTGCAAGGACACAACTACATCTTCAGACTAATCTATAAAATCATAAAAAATATTTGTTTAAGAAAAGAACTGCAAAGACACATCTACATTTATAGACTAATTGCAGAGCTAATTAAAACTTATATTCACATCCAATGTTCAGACTGGAAAGCCAAATGAGAAGCACCTACCTTATCGCACCAGAAGCTGCTTTTCGAAAATAAGCATATGAGTGGAGCCGATCTTGAAGCTTCAGCATTTCCACGTACGTTCTAAGTGTCATTTTCCTTAAGCAATAGGAATGAAAATCAAATTGGTCTTCAGTGATATCCAAATAATGTTTTTCCACAGCTAGAAATTTCTTCAAAGCTCGCCCTAAGTCACCTTGCCGCAGATAGCTTTCCCCAGATGCTAGTTCATACCTTGAGAAAGTTTAAAACACAGCAGCTGTAACATAACAAACTTCCATGTATTTGACATTTTATAAAACTTTAATGAGTTGCCAATTATCCATTTTTGGACAATCAATCACCATTTAAATTTATTCATTTTAAATTGTGATTAGACAACAATTTAATCAATTTAAATTTATTCACTTTTAGATTTAGAAACATTAAATTTATCAAGATATAGACTAATCCCTCCAAAGTATGTCCCTCCAAAAGCCTTCTAAATCCTTTCATCCAAATTCACACTAGAGAAATACTACGTATGTGATTGGGGGGGAAATATACCACATGCACTGCATATCATAAAGATTATTGTGCTGATCGCCGTCTTTTGTGAATAATACTGCTGTCTTTTCAGCCAATGCAACCTTCAGTCCAGTGTACAAAGGGAACACCATCAATTACAGGAACCACACTATTGTTGCATAAGGGTATTTTTACACATGAGACTTCTGCTGCTTCTGGATCTAAGTAAAAAAGTTTCAAAAGATTATAACCTGATCAGCCTCCAACATACGCTTCACACATTTACTATTAAGATATCGATCTGCAAGATCCATACACCTAGCTTCATCAGCCAATGCAGCTGCTGCTGCCAAGTCACCAGCGTGCTTTAATATTCGGCTCTAGAGTAAAATAGAAAAACCACATAGATATGATGAGGAACTAAATAAATTTGTAGGGAGGGAGAAGACAAGGTTGCAAACCTACAGATGCTAAAGCTGTTGTTTATATTTAATGCAGTATCTAAGCCGAGTTTTCCGTGTGCTAGTCCTCAGATATCACGTTAGCACTTAGCAGGATTAGCAAATCTTATTGGGTTTTAGATATTGAAAAGACTAAACAAACAGAAAATTGGACATATTTGTACTTCTGCAGTTCTGCAACTTATGTGAATGCAGCAAGAAGATTGTTTAATGGTTTAACCACAACTTTTCTTTAGTATAAGCACCTTAATCCCAACAAACTAAGATTGGTGTCATTAAGTATATAATGCCAATTACTTGCAAAAAAACTATTAACACTATAAATTCAAGCGAGGTGCATAGTGGCAATGTTATATGACAGATGCCCTACTTGTGGCAACCTTCATAAGAAGGATAATGAGATGAAAATCCTAAAAACAGTGACCCAAGTAACATCACTTGATCATCTAAAGGAAAGATCTGTTTACAATCAACTTCATGATGGGAGTATGAAGTGTAAACTATGACAAAAACATGGTGCAACATATAAAACAACACAAAATCCAGTGTGCACATATTAATCATAATGAAACAAAGTGCACTCATCAACCCATAAGGAGCAACAGATTGTGTGGAGAGCATACCAACTGCATGAGGCAAACGTACCTTGACTAAGTATAAATCAATTACAGTTGGAGTGTGTTTTATGGCCTCGTCAATTTTTGTAAGAGCGAGATCATACAGACTGCGTCTATCATAATGCTGCAAAATCAGATTTTCTTAAGAAATTTCAGTTTTTTAGTTATTTATTTTGTTCAGGGGGGAAGGGCACAACCCAAAGAAGGATGTTCAAATGCAACAGGCAGCACTAGTAAGACTACGAAAGAGGAACACCTGAGCAAGGTAAAATAACGTCCACATGAGCGTTGAAGGGGGTTCTTTATCCTTGCTGCACACAAATAAAATTCAAGACATAGTCGTATGATGCTAGTTTAAAAAGAAACCATGCCAATGCATGGTTAAAAGCTATGGTCCACTTCATTAGAATGTTTTCAGAAATCATGGTTTATTCTGAGATATTGTTCAAGCACGATGTATATGTGTCATTGCAATAACAAATTAGATGAAGTGATGAAGCCCACACTTTCTGCAAATCTTAATATAATTCATTAGGGTACATTGTTTAGAGAAAGAGCATTACCTCTCGGGATATGTACCAGTTGTCCTGACCGAATGCTCCAACTTCAAAACAAGTTGCTCAAGAATATCTGCCTGTAAATAACCAGATAGCAGAAAAAAGAATAAACAAGTGGAAGGAGATCAAAGTGACATTGTCAGTTTCAAACAAGCTAGGAAGTATCCACTGACCTTTCCAGGGTGATCATAAAGAGGTGAAAGATCAGAAAACAACGAAGGAACACCCTAACATGCATTAAAAAATCAAAGTCAGTTCCCCTGTTCAAGGTTTCGATTAAAGGCTTAAGCCAATAAACCAGATACTGAAACAGTCGCATACTTTAGTAAGGAGAGGTCTAATATAGTTCCCTGCTGCTACCGGAAATTTCTCACCTCTCAAAAAATCAAGAGGAATTCTCTGCATAATGGGAAATAACACAATAAATTGAAAACACGATACACTAATCATATATAGTCTGGAACAAGGGAGTCATATATGTATGTGTGTCAGTCTGCGTGGTGTGTTTGAAGGTAAAAACAACATTGGCGATATTCTGTAACGCATCCCAAATAAAAGGCAATGAAAGTGATATGCTATGAACCTTGTCATGTGATAATCAGATGTATCACCATATAAAAGTTAGAAAATGTCTAACCTTGAATGTCTCATTTAAAGACTTCCAAGTTATGGCTCCACATTGTGCAGGTAGAAGTTATTAATAAGTCATATAAATCATGCAGGAATGCTTAATAACACACACTCATAGAACTTAAAGCATATGAAGAACGAAACATGAGAAGGCAACAATGAGATGTCATGATAGGCAAGCCTCACCTTTACTGCAGATGATCTATGATATTGCTGTGCGAGGGATTCATAAAGAGCTTCTAAGCGATGAATTTCATCAGAAGAATAGTTAACATCTTGAGAGTGAAGTCCGAGACATCTTTGTAACCCCTCATAGTATCTATCAGAAATCATATTAGTCAGGGATCTTCATAACTTCAAAGTAATGCCAATAAGAATTTGTATTTTTAAATGATTAAAAATACCCCTTCCCCTCCGAACAAACAAAAAACCCGAAGCACAGACTGAATTTGTACAAACAAGTTAGAAGCTATCACTACACTACAAATCACTACACAGAAATATTCACTGAATATTAAGAAATAGATGGTTATGGTGCTTCAATAAATATATGTACAACGTTTAAGACTCGTGCTGCATACTCATTTTCACTTCAAAAATATACTCCATGCGGATAAGGAATAGAAAGAATGATATTGTATATACCTGTAATTATCGGGGTTCATAGATAGTAACATCTTATACAATCTTTCCCCTTCTTCAAAATGGCAAAGCTTTAAAAGAAGGCGGCCCTCTTGCTCCTTGTATCCCAGCTTATCAACCTAAGGAGCGCATTTATTGCACCCAAACCATTCCAAGGCTTAAATGTCTAAACATCTTACCAATTTTCAATTTCTAGTTGTGTGTATCCAAATAAATATGTAATAGAAACTTACAATTTTAGGTTCTTTCTTGCGCATTTCTTCAAGAGCTCTATCAAAAGATCCACACTCCTCTAATAAAGAGATCTGGGGAGAAATGTTGCATGCATATAATCAAGTTATTGAGAACGTTGTCACGTGAACCAAAGTTCGAAATTGCGTATTGCGTAGTCGTGGCGTTTTTTTAGAATTGCATATTGCGTAAGCCTCATTGCGCAATGAGGCGTATGGCTGAGGCGTAAAAAATGTATATACATGTGTGTGTGTGTGCATGTAAACACAATAAAAATAAAATAAATTATTCATTAGTGGTCATCAAATATAATAATATTATTATTATCCTCATGTAATCTAATTATATACTCTGTTTCATATTAACTCTAGTATTAACTGAAAATTAACATTAATATTTAGTATGGAGTACTAAACAAATAGAACACTTAATTTATCATTAAAGTTGAAATCAACATTAAATATAAAAACTGATGGAACAAAGTAAAATGCAAAAACTTAGTTGATGGAATAAAGTAAAAAACTAATATACAGAAAATATTAAAGTTGAAGAAAATTAATATTAACAGAAAATGAACATTAAATTTTAGTATCAAGTTAAATAGAACACTAAATATAATATTAAAGTCGAAGTTAACATTAAATATTAAAACTGAAACAGCATATTAATATGCTGAAACATAACCCATGGAAAATAATAAAATACTCCGTACTGATTTGCAGAACATATTAAAAGTTGAAGCAAATTAATATTTACATAAAATTAATACAAAGTAGGAAACAAGATTAGACATGGAAGTGTGGAACACTATCAGATTATGTAAAGTGGATGTATAATACGGGTCTACAATATCTTTAGTAAAAAGTAAACAAACCATGGTTGCAGAGAAGCTTGAAATCACATGACAAAACTAGGAAGAAAGATGAAGAGTACGAGCAGACTGCAGAGAAGCTTGTCGCTGCTTATCGCTGCCTAGCATATTGCGTAAGCATAGATAGGTTTATTATTAAAAGTGTGGGCCAAAAAACAATTACAGACCCCAACATATGTCGTACGCCTCAGACCGCCTTAAGGCGTAGGTCAGATTGCGCACGCCTCTGGGCAATAGCTCGTACGCCATGACCACCTCCGCCATAAGCAATGTAATATTACGCCATACTCCAGGAAAGTGTTGAGGCGCGCCATAAGGCGGTATTGCATTGCGCAATTACAAACCATGACGTGAACATATAATCTAAAGTTAAGCATTTCCTTTCTAGAGAGACTACCAAGAAACAATTGAATCAGCTATAATCAAACTCTCGTAGTTCAACATATTAGCTTAACAGCCATTACACTAAAAAACTACAGGTTCAATGAAATTGAGAACAAATGTAATAAACAGTTGATTCACTAAATATATCTAAGACACTCTGAGCTATGTATCAATTATCAAACATGCAACCTGCGTTTAGTGAGAGAAAAAATATCTACCGACTCAAAGTCCCATTGCCAGGTGTAAAACAGCTATTTCCTATTTGATATTACCTTATATAAAAGCATTTCCCCATGCTCACAGCATTCACTTCCTGGGGGATAATCATCATCTAGAGTCCCTTCATACGCGTCAAGGATATCAACAGCTTTTGGTCCACTTGAAAAAAGAAAACAAATTATGAGATATAAAATGATTTGGCTTCAACCAATATAGCCCAATTCCTTTTCATGAACAAATGATGTTCAATCTAATTATCTTACTATATAGAAAAATAACTGAGTAAAATATCGTACAATATATTATACCCGTAGAGAAATTATATGAAATATCTCAATCAGAAGAAAGACAAATGTGCATACAATAAGCTAGGATAACGAATTCAATGAGAACCACCCAACCTAACTGATTACGGAACTGTTCAAGTCGGGAATCTGAAAAGGCACTCTAAATCCAACAAAGTGAAGGGAAGCATACTTTGAGTTTAAATGTTGTGCAACAGCAAAGCCAATCCAATTCATACGGTGATTTGGCTTCAACGTCAGCAGTTGTAGTCTTGTTTCAACAAAGCCCGTTAAGTCACGCATTTGTGCCTGTGGTAATTAATAGGAAAAAATAAAAAAGAAAGAAGCCAAACAACAATAATGATGATGATGACTATAAACGTGATTAGATTCGCACCATGAACACCGAGAACAACGCTGAAAATAAATGATCATAACTAATAGGAAAATAACAAAATGTACATGATGGAGAACACTAAAGCGTGGAAATCCAACTACTCTCTTCTTAAGATAATTCAAGTATATGATAGGCACACAAACAAGATATATTGATCATATACAGAGATGTGTGTGAGGAACTTGATAGGCAATTGTTGAAAGTAATTGAAAAGACCATACACAACAGTAATACTTGAGTATATTAAGGCAGACCCTGACTCATGAGCAATATTGGAGGCAAATGGCAATAAGCCAATAGGTCATATATGCACAGCCAAATTCTATGACATACTGATAGGGATACAGCTGTACAGTCTATTTATTCCTTCTACAATATACTCAGCCATAGTATTTATCTTCTTTACTAAGTACAGCTGTATCCCTATCACATACATGCTAATCACATAGACAAGATTCAAGATGTCAGCAATGGAACAACTCAACAACATTGTATCACACTACTATCTACCGCGAACATGGCATTTTTCTTTAAAATCATTTTCACTTAAATCAGCCCTTACACATCCCCCAATCAAAACCTAAACCGTGCCAATATATGAATCTATAGCTGTAACATACTCATCACACTTGATAGACTTTTATGGGTTTAAAAGTGACAGCCTCGCAGGCAGTTTGTGACTCCACACATAATTGGCCTCTTTGAAGTACATTTTATGATATAAGGGTGAAAGTCTTCACCTGCAAAAGAGACAGGTCCCGTAATATCTCAATGTTGTCAGGATCGATTCTAAGTGCATTTCTATAGCACTTTATTGCTTCCCTGTATTCTCTGTCTGACCGGTATAAAAGACCATAAACATGCCAGCAAACGTGGCTCTTAAGGTCATTCTGCAAACGGAGATGAGAAGTTAATCATGATGAATATTATATTATATATAAAAAATATATACAAATAATTATATAGTTATAGTTTTTATACTTGGCATATTGAACAAAAACAGAAAAAGTATAAATGGAGAAGTCAGCAAATCAAAGTACCTTCAATCCCATCCGAACAAGGTCATATGCTTCTGATTTGCGACCCATACAATTTAATGTCAATCCTTTCATTGCCAGGGTTTCTGGATGCCATGCAGATGTTGAAAACCCCATAAAATCAACACAAAATAATTATAGCAAATGATACTGCAACTCCATTAAAAAAACATGGATGAGATTTTAAAAGTACATCCATCCTCTAGTATGTTTTGCCAACTTATGTTCGGCAAGTAATATTCTCTCTCACAGGAACATGGTAAGGAAGTTACTAACTTGCTAAATGATTAATTCTGATAAATCAGGAAGATTAAACATTAACAGAGTTTGTAGTGCAAAGTTTACACACTTTAATGAAAATTTAAATACCTCCATGATTAGGAAACTTCTTCAGTATGGCCTCTGCAGCTTTTAGCCCTTTCTTATATTGTTTCGTCTCATATGATTTCTGCATGCCATAAACAATACATTCCGCAAAGTATGTTTTTTAATCAACTTTTAGGAAGAAAGAGTAATGCAACGTGGAATTCATAAAGGGAAAAAACCTCCTAGTTTGATCAGCAAGGTGCATATGGCATGAATCCCATAGTTAACATTAGTACATCACTCTAGAACTCGCAAGACATCAAGTTATAGAAATAATGGACTGTTGAAAAGAGGGCAGATCTCTTTGACAGTCTCACAGTTAGACAAATGACCATGAAGGAAATCTTTTTTCATCAAAAAAGACAAACCAAGGCATTTGTAACTATAATAATTTTATTATATACTCCGTTTATAATATTATTACTTTCAAAAACAAAACACTACATGTATATGTGCTTAATAACACATACAATTTTATCAAGAAGTACTAGTCTCAGAATGACATGACTCTCCCAAGTTAATTTTCCAGATTTCTGCTGATGCAATTCTTGTTTAGCGTGTAGATTGAATGTTATTCAAACCTGCACATGCTGAAGGATCAACTGGGACAAACCGGTCAAAAAGAATCAGAAGAATGCATCCTCTCACGAATAAACACACTGCTGAAATGATGTAAATATAGAACCACTTTCTTAGACCAAGGCAGACTTCGATTGTGATACTATTTTGGTTAGATGATAGCATGGTGTTGAAAAGGGCAAAGTGGAGGGAGAGTGTATTGCATACGTGTAGAGGATTGATCTTATGTTGTTTGTCTCCCTCTTTCTCCATCTAATGTTTAACTCTACTATCATATGACTATTCATATGTTTGACTTCAAACTCTTGGGAATAATGCTTGGGTGTTGTTGTATAGAACCATTTTCTTCTGTAACTTTATTCACTATACTCACCGCTAGAAAAAGAGAAATCCCACTAGCACAAGTTGAGGGTTTGGGTTCTTTATGGTTTAAGATTCAGTGTAAAATGGATTTGGGGAATTAATACCAAATTGAAACCAAACTATGTTCAGTTTGGTTCGGTTTCATTTTGTTTTTTGAATTACTTTACCGTTTTGTTATATTTTTATTCAATTTAGTTTTGTCCAAACTCAGTTTGGATTGCATATGGCCATATGGGTGGGTTAATTGGTTTCAGTTAGGACTACTTCGGTTGGTTCCGTCAAACCAACTGAAATGCCAACCCCTACTGAAAATGCTACGCTTCTCACTGGCAGTTGATATTCCCAATCAAAAACATATTTTTGACCAAAAATATTCAACTACTATTATGCTCCACCTAAGCCGAGATTGCACAAGTAGCATAAGAATCAATAATCGCAACTGGAGTAGAAGGCTAACTGATCAGTCCAATCGTTAGCATGAAATCTAGGGTTAGTGTCTGCATTGAATTACAAAACAAATCGAGGAATTCCAGTGACTAAAAAAGCATGTTACTTCGGGGAGCATAGAGAATATTAAAACTCACAACCACAGCTTTGAAGAGGTTGGCCTCTTTGGGAGGAAGCGGCGCGCCCATTGTTGCGGAGCAGGAGTTGTGGTGGAGAAGCCGAAGTATAAATAAATTAATACTAGTATATAAAAATATACGTATGTAATATATATACACACACATAAAGGTTTGAAGAGTTGGCCGCTTTCGAAAAAGGTGTTTTCACCAAAAATGCTCAAATGAAAGAAATTAATTGGTAAATAATTGTTCGTCCTTAGGTTTTTTTTGTCATAACCCGTTAACGTAATCTGCTATCCGCTAACATCTAATCCATGAATGTCAAACACGCTAATATAGAGATTTTGGCACTTTTTTCCTATAGTGTGACTAACACTTTACTAGACTTTAATTCTTCCCTTATTAGTCTTTCTTTCGACCATTATACGAGAAACACTTTCGATGCTCAGATTTCAAAATTCTCTACATTTCGTCTAGTTAGAAATTTTGAATTGATACTTTAAATCCTTCCACCGTAATTTTGGCACAATAATTAGGGACTAAGAATGTCATATTGATATAATTGAAAGATCAAAAGTGTCGATTTTATGAAAGTCGGAAAACAAAATGTGAAAATTTTACAAATGAGTACCAAAAATTGTTTTTTTACGATAGTCAGGGGACTAAAAGTGGAAGAGAAAGGACTAAAAGTGATAAAAATATATACATAGGGGGCGGATCGGATAAAAAGTGTGATTATCTGCATTTTTACACTATTTCTATTGCATATTGAGATTCAAAGTGTTGCATACTATCATGTGATCAAATAAAAGTTGCATATTAATGTTCAGAACGTTACATTCGAAGTATATGTTTGAAGCGGAATGTGTATGCACCATGAGTAGTGTAATGTGTAAGGACGTTATTAATTATGTTCAATTTAATTGTAACTATCTTTGTTAATTAGACTAGTATTAGTGGGTTTTTTTGTTGAGAGAGAAGTTGGCTTATTAATTAATTAATTCATACGTGTAGGTTTCCTAATTGTAATAGGATGTTCGATTCTCTCTCCTATGAATAAAGGTAGAGGGTTCGAAACATGCCTAAGGAGTTCCATTATTATTTCCTCACATATCATTATTAGAGCTCCCACTTTACATTTTTCTCTCTCAAAAGTTCATACGTATATCATGTATTCTTTGTCATATCATTATAAATATATGGTATTGAATGTTTATTGATTATTCTTCTTCTACACAAATTACTCACGTTATTGTTTGGAAGTTAATCGACTGTTGATCTGGGAATTCACAATTCGTATCAGAGCCAAGGCACAATACAGTTCGACGTTTTCCTGAGAAATTTGAAGGAATTAATTTGATCAAAATCACGGGTTTTGGTTGAATTATTTATGAATTTGTTCTTGAAATTATACGTATTTTTTTGTTACAGATGCTGTAAAAGAGAAAGAAGATCACGGGGAAAATCTATTTGCTTGAGTTACGTATTTCGCTCAACCGAAATCTTGAATTTTGACCCTCTTAGAAGATTTCGAGACACCTATTTTCGGCTACCTGGGATTATCACTTTTCTAGTTAGCCGAGATTTTCCCTTTCGCTGACCCGGGATCAAGAATTCGAAACCCAGCCCGAGATGTAACACCGTCCCCAAATGTACTTATCTTTAAGCGAATAATTTATTGAACCCTATGAAATTTTTAGTGAATTTACGAGGTTGTGAATTTGTATTAAATTTTTTTCGCGTGAATAGTAAAATGCACGTGGGGCCCACATCGGGAGTGGGGACCGCCCGATATTATCGGGACCACATATTAGATTCTTCTGGGCCTAGAAAATACGTATATGGTGGTGGATATCCAAATTGGTCCATAGCAATGGCACAGGGTTGACCGGTTGGTCAAACGGGGCCAAATCATCGGTATCGGCAATTTCTCGGATAACGGCCCAAAAAGGGGTTCCGGAGATTTCTAAATTAAAGTTGGGGAATCACATTGATTCTAAGGTCCAATAAGGATTGGGAACAAGTGTTGTATTTTATTTGACCCGATAAAATAAAACATAATTAAAACAGTCCGGAAAATACAACTTTCGGGACTGATTGTACACTCCGGGACACAAAGGGTTGACCTCCAACATAAGTGGGGGCCAACCCACGTTTTTTAGTACAAAAAAGGACATGAACTGTCCGCACCACATGAAGGAGGATGGGGGATGTGGAGGAAATTGGCATCAAATGAGGAGTGGACCTCCTAGCCTCTCATTATTGTCAAGTAAGACAAGAAGGAACCACCCCTACCCCCTTACACTCATTATTTCGACCCAATACACAAAGAAGGAGAGAGGAGCTCTGCAAACTTCATCTCCATAGCCCCAAATCCGAACTCAAGCTCAAGGGAGTCCAAGAAGAAAGTTTAAGAAGGAAAAAGCTAGGAAAAAGTGTGAAAATTAAGGTAATGACCTTATCATAACTTTTCCTTTGTTTTTCTTCTAGCATATAAGATATATATCATATGAAAGACCTTTAGTATTGTTCTACATGATTTAAGTGTGGAATAATGGGTTGGAAATTGATTCTAAGTCCAAAAACGGATTTAGAAGCCAAATCGACCGGTTTGCCGGAAACAGTTCGGAAGAAAACTTTGATAAAAGTGATAGTATATGATGAAGAAAAGCTATGAAGGGTTTCTATGATGATTGTACCCACCATGAATTTCATTTGAGATAGTATACTTTGATATCATGAAGAAAAGCTATGAAGGTATAAAAGTGATACTTGATATTAAGGCCAATCATGCATGAAGAAAGAATTATATTGAAATAAATAAATGACTAGCATTGAAATATTAGTTGGAAATGTTAGTTGAGAAATGGATGAATTAGATCCTAAGAATTTGAATTATAAAGAATCGGTGATTATGAGCCGGGCTCAAGACCGATGTAGATAACGGTGATTATGAGCTGGGCTCTAGACCGTAGTAGATGACGGTGATTATGAGCTGGGCTCTAGACCGTAGTAGATGACGGTGATTATGACCTGGGCTCTAGACCGTAGTAGGTGACGGTGATTATGAGCTGGGCTCTAGACCGTAGTAGATAACGGTGATTATGAGCTGGGCTCTAGACCGTAGTAAATAATGGTGAATTGATACTAAATGAACGGATTAACTATAATGTAATGATGCTCTAGATTGAGGGCCTTAGAGATTTAAACTTCGATTATACTTAGTATAGTTGTCATTGTACTTGTCAAATGCTTCCAAGTACTGACCTCCCCTTCACGGGGGAGGCCACCTCACAGTTTCAGGTAGAACTTGAAGGTTGCTACTACCAGCCGCTGTTCGGGAAGTTTCCGAGAAGAAGACTTGGTTCGTGCTTCTTCCGTTCTCGTTTTGAAAACAATATGAATAATGCTCATGGATAATATTTTCTGAATAATTACTTTGGGGGCTTGCATGCCTAATTATGCCAAGTGTGACTTGAACACTTGTATCAATTGTTTCCGCTGCTTTAATAAATGTTTTACATTATGTTTGTTTATGGATGTACTATGTGTGAATGGTATTCAAGACGCCTTGTATAGTATGGATGAGTCGGACTGCGGTTGACTATTCGTACTGTACGGCGGGTTGTTGACGTGTCCGGGTAGGTCTGGGGCGTGATACGAGATCTTTCATCTGATGAGTTTCTCATATTCAAAGCTAACCCGAGATCTGATACTCAAAATCACCTGCCCGAAATACTACCCTCGAAGTCAGTCCAAGATCCTCAATTCGAAGCAGGGCCGAAATCATCATATGAAATCTTCATCGACTTTTTGATTTCGTAGCTGACCTGATTTTAGCTTACCCGAGATCCTCTTATTTTACAAGAACAGATCTGACTCACGATCAACAACATTCTATTTTTACCATGGATGCTTATACTATGGGCAGTGATTTTAGGCCTTCTATTCTGAGGAGAGGTGAATTTACTGTCTGGAAATCCAGATTCCTCGATTTCATTCGTGACAGATATAATGGTTGAAATATCCTCGCATATTTTAATGAAGAACCTGTTGAATATTGTGTTGATCTTCCAGGTAACCCAACAAATAATCCTCCAACACCCCCTAAGAGAGTGCTCACGAATGAGGGCGAGTATACTGAATCTGAAAAACTTAAAGCTAAAGATGATCTACTTGTTGCAGCGTATCCTCTGCAATCTATCCCTAATGAACTATTAATGCAAATTAACAACCTTACAACTTCCAAAGATATGGGGGTGAGAATCATCAAATTACGTAAGGAACAGATGTTGGCATAAAGACTAAGCGAGCTCACAATCTCACCGCTGATGAAGACTCGCTTGCTGCAAGAGCTGATGAAGACTCGTTTACTGCAACAGCTGATGGAGACTTAGAGGATACCTACCAGCGTTACCCGAAAGTCCTGAATGAGATGAGGAAGATCAACATCTGTAAGACTAACATGGAAGTGAATTTGCGCTTTCTACGATCTGTTAGGCCATAATGAAAGAAGGCTGCAAAAATAATCAGGCAAAACAAGGACCTCAATGAGCTGACCATGCACAATGCCTATGACTGTCTAGGAGAATTTTTTGAGAATATTCTTGAAAAGGTGAAAACGTCCAAAGATAAGAATATTGTTTATTCTCTTGCTCTTTTATCTACTGAAAGGAAGAAAAGAGAAAAGGCTCCTAGAGAAAAGAATATTGTTAATTATGCTCTTAATGAAGAGGAGGAAGAAGAGGATGAAAATGAATACTCAGTGTGTTCTAATTCATCATCATTATCAAGTATTCTATGAAAGTTGTTTTAATTGATGATATTATTGTGTTCATCATATGATTGTCGTTGAGAATCAATTAACAAAGACAGACTTGCTAATAATCAAAGATGTCTGGAAACACATTTAGAACAGGAAGGACTTCTTAGTATGCGCTTAAAAATTCGCAAGATAAAGTCACAAGCTTAGAATCTGAAGTAGCTAAACTTAAGAAAACTGTTTGTGACTTAAATAAGAATCAAGATGAAAATAAGTGAAAATGTTCTGAAGGTGTTATATGTTTTGAAAAACTAAATAAGGAAAGAAGTCGTCTCTATACTAAAATAAAGGAGTTAGAAGATATTATTGCTAAGAGATGTCAATCTGAACAAATTGTTTTTCTTTTAAATGGTAGACCAAAAGACACTGGATTCTAT